CGATGATCAGAACCTGAGATTAAACCTTTTACAACTTTGATTTAGGAACTGTATTGCATATAGACGCTAACACGCATACATACACATACGCATACACTCGAGCAAAAGTAACAGGACCAGTATGAAAGACAAATAACCTAACAGCTCTATATCTATCTATCTATCTAGGTTGTTAATTTTCTTTTGACTCGATTGAGACTATATAAAAAGTAAGAAAGAGCCGGATAGTGTTCTTGCTTTAGTGTTAACGTCCGACTTTTACAAGAATGACACCCAGCTCTGATGATGTCCATCATATGATGGACGAAAGCTCAGTACGTTTTCACCCGAAACGAGGGAGGAGGTTTAGTGGACTGCGTCAACATGAATATCGTATAGGAACCAAACGGCTGCAATATAACGAGATTTATCCGTCCTTATCTGATGAGATCTTTCATACGAAATGAAAGTCCCCCTAACAATATTATACAATAGCCACTTATTTTTGAAACCTACTCATTCGATAACTAGTAGTATCGTGAATGTTAATGGTGTATATCAGGCTGATATACTAGAAAAAGGCTATAAAAGGACTAAGTAAAATTCACTGGCATTTGAGGCCTACTCATTACTAAGCCCCTATTACAGAATTACTGATAGCCTGGAAAATAGAATATATATTATGTAGAATATAATAAGGCCAGCCTTAAAAGTCACATTTACCCTGTGACCAACTGGTGCCGGGCTATCCAGTCAAGTGGCAACTTTTCCGATATTCGGACGAAATCGAAGCGGTACTACAACCTGGATAGGGATGCCCATGGCTCCTTGATTCCTATGCATTTCACCGTGGAAATTCATCTATCATATCTTCCATCACTGTAAGCGGCCTAAAGTGACTTGAGGCCCAGCTTGCTTGTCGCCTGCCTGAAGAATTGCTTTTATGCATGTTGGTCGAGTTGCTCTTTCTTCTGACAAGAGCAACACGTATCAAACTGGAAGGTGGTAGTAATTGGCTTTAAAAAAACAACGTAAAAGCAGATTCACCGTCTCGTCAACCATGAGCGCGAAGACCAGTGGATTTGGAAACAGGTCATAAATAGCCAGTCTCCATCATACGTCAACGTCATTGAAGAGAAGAGGGAAATGCAGTCAGTGAACGGATAGGGGTGGAACAGAATTATTCACAAATAGTGAATGTGATAGTGCGTGTGGATCTCAACCGTTGGGACCCATTCAGCCGACCATGTCTTGGTCACGCTACTTGGCTGGGCCGCAAATGTGTCAATCATTGGACAAATGTGCCAACCGGAGGTACA